TGTCAGACGTATATTAATTAGTTAATTTTTCTGCATGGAATGTAAACATGAGGGTGGAGAACCCAAAGCCCTGAGGATCCAATGAGGTGTGTGGCCAAGTAATTATTTTGGGGTAATGCAGAGATGTGGCCTGTGCTTAGTCTATAAAGGCAAGAAAAAGGTTTCCTACCAGGTACAGTCAGTTTATGCTAAAGTGAAGTGAAGTTTTCTTGATGTGGGCGCTAGAGCCTGTGTCATAGACACACCATAGAGTTGGCATTTTCAAACTGAGCTTTCTAAGCCAAAGATGCTACTGGCAGTGGTGCTCAAGTATGTTTAAATTCAGTTTTTAATTAAAAATATTAAGTTTAAGTAGTTCAAGAATGGAAGAAAGCATAGAGAGAGCAAATATTTTTATGCTGAAGGAATATTTAAGGTGTAAATTTGTTTGCTGGTAGCACCAAGTTTCACTCCTGACTTGGGGCTGCCTGGATGCTTCTCATGTGGTTCACACTGAGAACCAGATTTATTGGGATTTTTGTGTTTTGATATTGGGTGAAGGTCTTTTGCTGTGAGTCTTCAATCAGATGTATTTTGTGTGATAACAAGAAATAGTTTTCTGTGTGAGGGGACTGTGATGTGGTGTACATGCAGAGCAGTTGGGCTGGAGAAGAGTTGGTGTGCAGTTTTAGGGCCAAATCCAGTGCTGGCAGTAGTGCAGAGGGGTGAATTGAAGCAGGGCCATGCACCACAGGTAGGTGCAGTACAGGAATTCCCAGAGGGTTCCCCAGTCCCAGAGCACACCACTAGCACTGGAGCATGCCTTGCTATTGGAGACATTCAGAAATCCTGCTAAGGCAGGGTCCTCTCTGTCAAATCCCTCCTTGGCCCCTCTGGCTCTCTGGGCTGAGGTGTCCCCAGGCTCATTGGTCGTCACTGAGCTGGGTTCCCATTTCTGACCTCGTGTTGGACAGCTGCCTCTCTATTCTTGACAGCAAGGCTCTTCCCTTTGGCAAGAAACAAAATGCAGTGTCCTTTCAGCAGAGTGCATTTTGGATTTCTGCAGGTTCCACCAAAGCAGTGTTCAACTTCCACCATCTGTTTTTAGCACTTCTGCCTCAACTTATGTGTGGGTTTTTTTTCTTTTTTTATTTGCTTCCTGGCTTCCAGTCCTCTTGGTAATTTATTCAGTGTGGACTTTTAATATATCCCAACAGGAGCAACTCTACTTATGTTTTCCTTTTGGAGTAAGGATTAGGGAATATCCCTTAGCCCTTCTTTTTGTTCGTCCCACATTTTTTGTGTTTTCCTAGTTTCCATCCTTCTCCTTCAGAGCTGAACTCCACTGAATCATGATTTTTTTGCAGGGGCAGAGGAGCCTGAAGGATGCAAGCTAGTCTGGTTTCTAGGTGCTGTGATTTTTCCCAGGTCCCTTGGGGTGGGAGGAGGCCTGGAAGCTGACTGGGTTTTTTTATTTTGGTTTTGGTTTTGTTTTGTTTTTTGGTTGGTGGATGTTTCATGGCCTGCACGCAGCTCTGGGGTCCCCAGCAGCACAAGGACGTGGAGCTGCTGGATCCAGCCCAGAGGAGGCCACGGAGCTGCTGCCAGGCTGGAGCCCCTCTGCTCTGGAGCCAGCCTGGCAGAGCTGGGGCTGTTCCCCTGCACAAGAGAAGCTCCAGGGAGAGCTCAGAGCCCCTGCCAGGGCCTCAAGGGGCTCCAGGAGAGCTGCACAGGGACTGGGGACAAGGCAGGCAGGGACAGCACACAGGGAATGGCTCCCACTGCCAGAGGGCAGGCACAGATGGGAGATTGGGAATTAGGAATTGCTGGCTGGGAGGGTGGGCAGGCCCTGGCACAGGGTGCCCAGAGCAGCTGTGGCTGCCCCTGGATCCCTGGGAGTGTCCCAGGCCAGGTTGGATGAGG